TCCTACAAATCCCCATCTCCTGATTTCCCCATGAGAAATATTTACATTCCATCTACAGTCAATGCAACCAAGGTTTTTCTTTCTTGCCTCGTTTAGAGGTATCTACAAAGAAGTGTTTATGACAAGATGGTTAGACTGGGATGAAGGAGGAAAAATGATCTAAATTATGACTGGATGGTAGTGAGGTTATGAAGTTAAACACTTCCAAGCTAATTCAAGTTGAGCAAGAAACTATTTGTTCTATATTGGCAACTGGTTTACTAAGATTGGGAAACTGTTTCACTAAGTATGCTGACTCACTTATTGCTGTCCCCCCACCATCCCCCCAGTGTCACTGAGCTATTCTTCCTGTTTGTGACTCCCTTAGGATGCTGTCTAGACGTCCCTAGTCAATGTTGGTGTTCCAGGTCCAACCATGGATGAGCATTCCAAGATCAGAGCTGGAATGCCAACCTTGATGCTCCCTCTGTTATCAGGGACAATTTTTCCTCATGCCAGCTGGGGCTCTGAGGTCTCCAGACTATCCTTGGTCTGAGGGCAGGGGCCAGTGGGAAGAAGAGTGAGCTCTGCAAGACTGATGCAATGCATTCCAGTGGCACCTCAGCTTCTCCTCCATATGAACAGATGAAAAACATTTACAAGGCTGAAAATAGTCGTGTATTGTAGGGTAGGAGGCACACCAGTGTAATCCTCACCTCCATGTTCTTCCTGCCCTCCATTGGATGCCCATCATATCCAAGTTTGAAGACTTAGAGGCAACCACACTAGACACTGCTCTTAGCCAATGTCACTTGCACTGGTACAATGTCGAGCTATATGAAACTGTAGTCTGATTAAGTGCATTACATTATATATTTATGTGACAAAATGGCACACAGATTTGGATTGTTGACTTCTTTCCTTCAGCTGAAAGAGAACTGGTCTTCAGATTTCAGCTCTATTAATGACTGTCAGTATCCCTCAGAAATTGATAAAGGGCCACTCCTATAGAACTGCTAATATCACAGACCATCAACATGGTCTTAATATAGAAACTATAAAATGTTCTTGTTATCTGCACTATAGTCTTTATTTTAACAACTCTTGCAATCTAGAACAAACAATATTGTCTGCTAAGTCCACATGGGATTTGGGTTATATTCTTCTTGGGACCTCAGTACTTGAGGCAAAGTGACCATGACATTTCTCTATTGATTTGCCTAGGAAAAACTCCTGTGGCAAAACTGTTGGTTATAGATTAGAAAATAAATCTGAATTCTTACTGGGTTATGCAGTGATTATATTATTTTCTTTCTTAAAAGCAGGATGCCAGGGGCATACTCAACTATATAATCAGTAAAATTCAACCAAGCCTCGGAAGTATTGATTAAGAAAAGTGTGTAATAGGAAACGGTTCGGCAAGTAAATAATAAATGCCCTTCACATAACCTACACCTAGTGAGTATAGAAAGATCTGTCCTGTGTGATCTGAAAAGCATCATTTCTACCTACATAGATGTATCAAGTGTTATTTAAGTAGCATCCTTCTTTTAGAATGAAACTTCTTACTCATTTAATCTGAGTTCATTAAATTTCATTCAAACCAGCAAGCACGCAGCCTACAGAATACTGTGACAGGGTTTAGATGTGTCGTTATTTGTGGTGATCTTGCATAAACCTTTTTCCTCACCCTGCATGTTGCCACATAGCAATTCATTTTATCCAGCGATCTGGATAATCTACAGCTACTACCACACAAAACAAAGGGTGCAAAATAAGGGGGAACTAAAGATAGAGGCAGCAAATAGATGCAAATAAACTACAGTTGTTGACATGGCAACCAACCGCTGCCTATTGGGAAATGTCTCATTTTGAGTGAATTACACCAGTAATCAAAGGTATTCAAAAAGGTCACCTGGTTAACTTTCACAGGGAGATAAGACAGGTTCTCATTAATCTGCCCCTCTTTTGTGACCTTTCTCCTTATTCTGGCCTATTTCTTTATTTCTTTTTGCACATGGAAAATGCAACAAAACACTCTTCAAACAGAAATGAGTTTAGACGCAGCCATATACTCCATCTTTCTTCACTTCCATGGCACCAATATAAAACACGGGGCCTCAGGAAATGACAGGTACATTGTTAACAAAAATTAAGGACTAAAACTGCCCATTTCTAATAAATAACCACATTCAGGAAAGAAATGAAAGGGTGATCCCCCTGGAGCTTGAGCATCAAGGAGGTGATAAATGCCTATTTTACAAAGCAAGGAAACAGAGTGGAAAGAGATCAGTTATTCAGGGCCTAACTAATGAGTCTTATCCCAGTAATCAGAAATTCGGGAAAGCCCAATCAGGCATGTTAAATACAGCTGCACTGTATTAACTATTCCTTTACTGAAATAAAGGATACGACTGTTCATGGATGAGAGAAATGGAAAAAGTGCTCCTCTGGAAATCTGAAACTTTAATATCACAGGGAAATTAAGCCTGAGGATACAGGACATTGATATGCAAATACATTGAACAAAATCGCAAAATGCCTGAAAGATCTGATGTAACTTTGAAAATGCCAGATTGAAATCATTTTCCATTTAATCCCATGTCATGAATCCCAGGGATCATAAGATGGCCTGCAAAACCATTTCTGAGGGGAACAACATTCCAACTTCAGAAGGAAGGGCAGGAACTCTGACCCCTGTTCCCCTGTAGCTTAGCTGGGCCAGAGAGAACTGTGCTGAATCCCTCTTTGAGGTTGAAAAATCAACCTCAGAAAGCAGGGAAATGGGGGAAACCAGAAAACTAGGATACATTTTTTCTTAAGCCTCCTTCCATGACCCTCCAAAGTGCTCTCACTAGAAGGACTGAAAAGCCCATCTGGTGAGAGCAGCAAAGGACAAGATCACCTCTGCTGCTCCCCCCACCCTATCAGCCTCAGGCAGAGGGAACATACTTGGAAGTGTCCAAGTTCAGGGGCTTCCAAGCAGCAAGTTCACACTTCAAGGATTGCACTGTAAGTTATAAGAATTTTTATCCACCATTCTTCAGTGGATATATATATATTGGGGTGGTCAGGCTTGCTCAGTGAAAATGCCACATTTGGTAGATGTCAGATGTTTGAGAGCTGCAGGTGGGCGCCTGCAGGAAGCTGAAGCAGGTGGTGAACAGCAAACTGGCTCCCACAGGAGGTGGCAGCAGGTGGCAAGTGGTGAGCCTCAAAATAAACTCAAGGAGCAGCGTGTGGCTTGTGAGCTTTGGTTTGGCCACCCCTGATATATATATATATATATATATATATATATATATAGTGTGTGTGTGTGTGTGTGTGTGTGTGTGTGTGTGTGTGTGTGTGTGTTACTATGTATACTATATAGTGTACATACTCATTTGATGTCAGTCAAAGGTAATTTCTAACTTCTGACATTTGCATGCTTGGATGTGGCCCTGCTGGAGTTTTCAGATACTGGGGACAGGTCTTTCTCTCATCCTGGACCCTATCACAGTCATATTTGATGGGATCATGTGGAAGTACCTGCTTGGTCAAGATTCCATGCCCTGAGGTTCATGACAAACAATTTTTCAGGCAAGCTTTTTGCAGCTGAGTGGGCTTGCCTTACCCTGGTAATCATTAATAAACTTTCTGTTGTCATTTTGTTTTAGTTTATTGTGTTTTCCTAGGTGAATTTTAATGTTTAATTCTTTAATGATGGCATGCACGCTTTTTAAAATCACCCTGAATGCTATTTTTAGTGGAAAGACAGGATGCACATGTAATAAAACAAAATCAATATATAATAGTCTGATAATCATCCTAGTTTTTGGCCTGCATGTCACTGGGCTATTCCTCTCATTTGATTTCCTGACTCACTTAGATACTATTCAAAAAGCCACCTCATTTACATAACCCATCCTCATCAATTAGTCCTGTGTAGCATTGTGACCAAAACAACCTGCATTGGTTGGAATCTTAAGCATGCCTACTTAGAAATAAGTCCCATTAACCTCTGTGAGACTTACTTCCAGGGAAGTATGCATGCTTACCTCAGCTTTAAATAGAAAAGACTGATTTGTTTTCTGCAGTCCACAAACCTCTTCACTTCTCATCAAAAACAGTTTGGTTGCATGGCTTCTTGAATGAAACCCATTTTACTGATCTCTCTCACATGTATTCAAGGGCTTGCAGCTTCAAATTAATTTATTCTATTTCTGTCCTTGAATGAGTTTTCTTTACCTTTCTGAGTTTGGCTAGTTGATCAATCTAATCTTTTGTTGGCTGAAAACCATTCTCTAGCCCTGTTTCAGAATGGATGAACCTGCAATGTTTGAGATTGTTGAAGGACTCCAATGCCTTGCTCAAAGGTCATTTCACTTCACGAACATTCCCAAACACAAGCCTTTCCCATCCCTCCTAATTGGTAAAAATATTATTTTTAATGGGAAAACATGCATTTCCCCTGTGGGGCACTTCTTTAAACTGCAGATGGGGGGTTGCAATTGAGCAAACATGCATTTCCTCCCTAAGGGAGTCAGGAAAACAGGACTGCCATTCTCACGTAGCCCCCATGTGCCTGGGTCTGTTTCAGTTCCTGTCCAGTAGGCTAAGGCTTGAGTGGGACTTCACAACAGCGCAAGAAGTGCCAATAAGGAAGTGACTGTGGCACAAACATTCCAGCACATCACCAGTCCAGGTAACAGCAGTGAAATAGTGGTCACTGCTCCCTCTCTCCAGATTTTACCTTTAGTCCCAGATATGTTTGGCACATCATTTCCCTCTAGTCAAAAGCACTGTCAAATTTCAGAAGACAAGAAAAAGACGGTGGCTGGGTAGTTGAGCACATGCAAAATCACTTACAGATCATCTCCAGGCTCCCTTTGGAGTGTAGGATAGAGACACTCAGCAAATTGAACCTGGCGACCCACTTTTTACCTATCAATTAAAATGCAAATCAAGAAACCAAAACGAGTCCATGCAATTCAATTTCTTCCTCTCTGACTTTATTGGTTCAGTAATGAGACACTCACGTCCATCCGTTGTCCGGGCCTCCATGTGTACAAGGTCAGGCTCCTTGTCCAAACCTGTGACAGACCTGAGAGAAAAGAAGAAGAAAAGAAACAAATCAATCTGTGTGGCAGAATGCCATAATAGCAAGCAAAGGTCAAACAGGATAAGAAATGCGGAGCAGGAGGAAAACAGCTGACTTTTTCTCATTTTAAACAAGCCAGGCTGAGACTTGAATGTATTTAGTGCATGAGATGCCACATGAAAGCAAGGGGGTCAGATTTAATAAGAAGCCTCATCCAAAAAGCACAGGGAACAAGAACACTAGAGGGTGTAGCCTTGATTCTATTTCATCCACTTGCAAGAAGTTCTTACACTGAACCACGCATAGGTTCTGCTCCTCTGTTTCCCTATTTGAAACAGAATATGCTGCTTTTGGTCAGTTATTCATGGCATTTATGATCTGTGTTTCATTTTAAAATAATCCCGAAGTGGGATAAACCCAATGCAAGCATGAAAAAATCACACAATGTCAACCCCCACAATTGAACATGGAGAAAGAAGAACACAAATAATGTAGCAAAATAGATTCAATCTGATGCCTGGGTGAACAAATAGACATTCAGTTAGCACCAAGCATTTGTAAGACTCGATGCCAAACATATGAGTAGGTGTGTTGCATACTGATCTTAGAAACATAGAAACAGAGCGAGTCAGAAGGGGTCTCCTGGACCATCTAGTCTGACTCCTGACTCCAGCAGGTTTCGCTCATGACATGCCTACCATGTGTATGTCTAGCCTTCCAAAGCAGTATTTGAAAATGTAATACTAGATCACTAGAAAACCTGGAACGGATATCTTTCATTCCATGGTGCAGATCAGTATGTGGAAGGGCTAGAGTTCAATCAGCAGGAAGATCACAAGGTTGATCCCTGTTGTCTCCCCGTGCGGGGAGGGGGAAATGCCTGCAGAGCTGCTATCCATCTCTGTTAACTACCACAACTTAACTATCAGGTGTATATCGTTCTGTATTGTTGTATGTTGTTGTTTTATTGTTGTTATATTATGGTATATCATTGTTCTATATGGGTCTATAATTAGGCTTTATGAGTTATGTTCCTCAACAGAACCCCTACTTTTGGCTTTCCTTAAGCCACTTGAATTGATCTTAAACGTATTAATTGCACCATACTATACCTCTGACTTTGTTCACGATAACATTCAATTTAGCAATGGAGCTACTAATAGACTACAACTTCCATAATCCCCAACTATACTGCTAGTGCCTAGGTGAAATTACTGCAGTCAAAAGTATCTGGAGGGCATCAGGTTGCCCATCCCTGTGCTAAACTGCCACTACTACTGCTGCGATTTAAACCACCAATTACAGTTCTATGTCCACTTAGTGGATCCTTTAGACTCAGAGCAACCTCGGGGAGTTAAGGGGCAGCACTGGTGCAACTGAAATTCAGAATAATGTTTCCATTTTCTTTATCAACAGCACTCTGACACACTGTTCATTGTGCAATGTGGCCTGTGCACCTCCACTGACTATACCGTACCTCAGAGACTGACTACCAGCACAACAAGAAGCTGTTTCTTCCTACAGCAACCCTTGTTTCCAGATCCAGGTCAAGAGATCTCCCTTCTGCAAACTCTGCTGACCATTCTGTTCTGGAACCAAATATTTGGCCCATTTCAAGCTGATTTGGGAAGTGGTAGCTTCCCAGTGCGGTGGTGGTGGTGGGTCCCCCTGCATACATCCCATTGTCCATTACAAATGAAGCAGACTCCATACTGTCTTGGAAATGCAATATAGGCACGAAGAATTTGTCAGCCTGAGATCAGATGCAGGTCTGTACTGCTTTACCTTAATGCAGTTGGTTTAATTGTTTTCTACATTAAGGGAATGGTCATTACAGGTAAAACTCAAGGTTCCACAGCTGGAATAGAGTATTCTGACACAAACTCCATTCACATAGGCACTGGCTAAACCTATATGGCCTGTTCCTCAACATGAACAGAGATTGATCCCTAGGATATACTTAGTACCCCCTGCAGATGCATACAGCAGGGGAGATCAGTAGTGGCAAACAAGCTATGCCTTTCAGGAAGTATGCACCATTAGTGACCTTAAACTCCAAAATAGCTCCAGAGCTCCCTTAAACACATTTTGAAATCCATTGCCCTTAATGGAATTATGCCTGTAGCCATTACTGGAAGGGAGGTGATGTTGGGCTCTGTCCTGGGACTGATCCTGTTCAATCTTTTCATCAACGACATGGAAGAAGGGCTGAACAGTCTGCTGATCAAATTTGCAGATGATACTAAAATGGGAGCAGTAACCACAACTGAGGAGCAGGTACTCCAGATCCAGAAGGATCTGGATAGACTATGGAAGAGGGCAGGGGACAACAGAATGGTGTTCAATGTGGATAAGTGCAAGGTCTTGCATTTGGGGCATAGGTTCGGGTGACATAAGTACAGGTTAGGGGACCTAGAGAGCAGCACTTGTGAAAGGGATCTCAGGATGCTGGTTGACTGCAGGATAAATTTGAGTCAGCAGTGTGACGTGGTGGTCAAGAGGGCAAACACCACCCTTGGTTGCATAACCAGAAGCATGGCTTCTAGATCAAGAGAGGTATTACTACCATTCTATACAACTCTGGTGTGCCTCCACATTACAGGAATATATAGCCAGGTTAGAGTCAGTGCAGCGTAGGGCCACAAGGATGGTGGCTGGATCACAGGGAAAGCCATATGAGGTGAGACTGAGGGAACTGGGTCTCTTCAGCCTGGAGAAGAGGAGACTCCAAGGAAATCTGACAGCGACATACAGGTATGTGAGGGGGTGTCACCTGGAGGTGGGTAGAGACCTGTTCACTCCTGCAGAGGAGGGCAGGACACGCTCCAATGATGCCAAGCTCAGAGAACCAAGGTTCAATTTGAATGCCAGGAAGTACTTCTTGACATTTAGGACCTCAAGGGTATGGAATGGGCTTCCATGGAGGTGGTTGAGGCCCCATCGAAGAGGGAGAGGCCCCTTCTGACTCGCTCTGTTTCTCTGTTACTACAGGGCCGGAATCAAATACTTCAGGCAAAATTTAGCCACAGCTATCGGCAGTATTGCACAGATAGGCTTCATAAAGATTGTAGACTTCCTTCTCCACGTTTCTTCCAACCTCAGTCCAAAAAGCTGAGAAGGTATGATTGATTTGTTTTCTCTTATCTTCTGAATTTTGGAGCAGAAGTGAATATTGGACAAAGCATGCTTTAAACTAGTTGGAATCCACAAGAATTCTGCACCAGAGTGATTTCCAGCACCTGTCCCTTGATAATAGCCAGAGTTGCCACCAGCATTTTGAAATGCAGGGGATAACTAGATACTCCTCCTTAAGAACTAATTTCAAGAGATCAATAGAGTTACTTAGGGTTCAGTCTGTATTGATAAGAGAAAGAACAGGGCTCTCATTTTTCAAAATATTCTGGAAACTGTTTCCTAATGGAAGAAACTCCTTATATAAAAGCAAAACAATCAGAAACAAATGATGCTATAATGAAAGTACACAGACATGCACGCACGGACACTACTCTCCATAAAAGGCAAGTGTGAGGGAAACCAAGCATTGGTTGCTTTGTCAGAAAATCTGGAGCCCCTTGTTCTTTTTTTGGGGGGACAGGTGACCCTGGCATGATTAATACAGAGTAACAAGGTGGAATGTTCTCCTAATTGGATACACACTCACCCAGACCTCTTTGCAGTTTTCTCGACTACCTACTTTTCGTGTATACTTTACTCCATATTCACTTAAAACTATGTATTTTTGGCTGACATGAATATGTGCCATTAACTTTATTAATTGTGCATTCATTTTTATTATGAACACTTACGATGCCGTAAATGGGAGGTGTAATGCAGTTGCTTTATTGCTTCAAATCTGATAACAATGTTTACTTTAAGCAAACAACAGTGTTACTTGCCTGTACATGGACCCAAAAAATAGCCTCTTCTCATCCACAGATTGTCTCTTTTGGGATGCCCCCCTTTTTTGTAGCAAAACAGGAAGAATTGCTTTTATTTATTTATTTGGAATACATATATTTCTCCCCATCCACAAAAGCCTCAGGGCAGCTTCCAATACAAATAAATAGCTATACAAATACATATATTTTATGTTCATTTGGTAAGATTGTGGGTTGGGAGTGCATCCCGTATGTGTCTCTGCATATGTAATTTTAAGAGAAGAAAACAGGGACTGTTTAAATCAGAAATAAGCAATTTGTGGGCCAAACTATCTTTAGAACCACAACTCCCATCATCCTTCACCATTGGCTATGCTGATAAGAGCTGATGTGAGTCATAAGCAAAAACATCTGGAGGGCTGCCTATTCCTCACTCTTAGTTTAATAGTACATGGAGAAAACAGGTGAATTCTGCTGGAGAAAATTTACACCTGGTTAACAGTAAAAAGATTTCCTGAAATTTCTCAAATGGGTTTTCATCTCTCCAAACAATGGAGCCACTTTGGCCACCTTTGCCACTTTTCCCAACAAGAGCCAAGGCGAAGGAGCCATAGGAAAGGATATTTGGAGGTGGTGGCATGAAGCATTTTCTAAAATTCCAAAGCTTCTCATGGTGGGGGTTTGGGCTATGCACTAGGCAAGGTAAAAGCAGCACCATTCCCAAAGGCACCTTGCAAAAGAATGGTGCTAAGCAGAGTTGTCAGGTTACCACAGCCAAAAGCAAAGCCAGAGGTTTTGCACTTCTTATGGGGTGAGGGAGGGAGAAAAGAAATAGAGGGAGCCCTGCCGCCATCACACTTATCCCTCTTCTCCCTGAAACCATTTCAAAGGTTAAACCACTGTCTCCCAAGATAACCACTGGAATGCCCTCCGTCATTTTGCTGCTTACAAGTGAGTGGGGGATGATCATTTTCCCTCTGGTCTAACACAGGCACATTCTCTCTTCCTTCCACTGCCAGTGCCAAATCACCTGGGGAAAGCTCTGGGAAAGATGCTGTGAGTGCAGCTCCTTCTCACACACATGCTGCTTTTCACCATGGCTTCCACTGCCCACTGTGTTGCCTT